GTGTAACATGTCGTATTTAAGGCAAGTGGCTTCATCTTAAGAGTCAGCATGGACTCACTACTTCTCACGGAGGCAAGGTCCTGCTCGTCAGGCACTTCTGGCAGGACCAGGGCCCTCGGTCTCACCGATGCAGGGCGGCAGGTCGCTTGTGTCCAGGCAAGCTCAGAGTTGGTCGCTGCCCAGGGAGGCAGCCTGCTCTGCTGGGCTGAGGGCAGCTGCTCTGCTGGGAGTGACTGATGAGCCACGTCTTGCTACTGTGGCAAGGTTTTTTGAATGCATCTTTGGGTAAGTATTTAAAGTGTTTATGCAATACAGTGGTCAGTATAGCAGTTCTTGTTCCCTTTTCCATGAGCTTCTGTTTGCTCCTGTTCGTTTACCTTGCATCCTTCCTCATCATCTTCTAGAAGGTGGCAAGGGTCATTTTGACCTACTAAGTCCATTTGTAGCTTATGGCAGAAACCATGTGGATTAATAGATCTAAATTGTCATTTTTACCATTGGACTCAAGCTGTTAGAATTCCCTCTTAATATTTTTAATATACTTAGTTTCACCACAACCAGCGAGATTTTCCCCCTCCCCCCCCCCCCCCCCCCTCTTTTTTTTTTCTAGCGGGGGGGGTTGACTCGCCTTATTTAATAGCACTCTTTAACCCTTCAAGTCTTGTCTTAGCCAGGGGGATGGAGGGCAAGAAAACTCCACATTCTATTATTCAAATTCATTTTTAAAATATCAAGGTGTTTCTGCCTTTGATAAGTTATTTTTGAAATACCTGGGCATATAGAAAACCTGTTCCTAGGCAATGAAAAATACTTTCTTCTTCTATTGTACTTTTTAAAGGAATTTTGCCTGATATGGAGAGTGTTTAAAAATAACTATTAAAGACTGTATTTTGGAAAAATAGAAAACTCCGTTTTATCCAAGTAAGTAAAAAAAAAAAAAAAGAAAAAAAAAGAAAAAAAAGAAAAAAAGAAAAGAGAGAACCAAAAAAACTAGTCAAAACTTTGCAGATGCCCAGTGGACTGGATACTTATTTTTTTCTTCTACAAAGATTTTGTTAGAACTCCTGCATTTTCCAGAATTTCTGTACAATCTTTTAAATTGAAATGTCTTGACTTTGCATTTTTCCATAAGTTATCAGAGGTGGCTTTCTAGCTTTAAGCCAAATTCTTTGGCTCGTGCAAGAGATGCAGTAACTTCTTGATTTGTTTTGTGCAAATTCTGTTTTGTAATCTGTAAGCTTTTTTTGTATGTACAATATAGAGAGTCCTATTTTGTATTTTTTAAATGTAAGTATTACTTTTGGAGCTGTAACTTTCTTAAGAGTCTTTGATGTGAAGGAACCGGTTTGCCAATGTAACTTAGAGTATTGATAAATCCTTGTTGCAGCAAGGCATAAAAAAACTTCGAGTTCTGAAGTTAAAGGGAGAAATATATCCATATTTAACTAACAAAAACCACTTCTTCAAAGAGAGAAACAGATCCTTAAAATATTCTGCTAATATGAGGTAATTCCTTTCCCGTTACCCAACTTGCTAGTTAGTTTTTAGTCCATCTCCCCTAACGTTGCTCATGAGCTTGGAGCTGTGATACAGAAGTATTCAGTACAGGCAGAACTGGTGATGGGCGCTAAACCATTTGATCTTCCCTAGTTTTTACTTTCTTTTGAGACAGCAGATGGAGAGTAGTTGCCACTATGCAACTTGAGACAAACTCCAAAATGAGACTTGACTGAAGTTTTTTTTTTTTTTTAAAAAAAAAAAAAAAACTTAATCTCAGATGCAGCTCTTTAAATATTTATGTATTAATACAAATCTGCTTGAAAAGCAAGTTGTGGTCCCTGTAATTATTTCTTCCTGAGGCAGCAGATCCAACTTGCTCTGCGGGCATAAGGATATAGTGTATTGTGACAATGAGGGTATTTTGCTGTTTCATAATGAAACCGATTCTGTCTTGAGTGAAATTAAGACATTTCCCCTCCCCGCCCTCTTTTCTTGCAGGAGGAAAACTGTGGTCTTATGTCAGTAAGTTCTTAAACAGAAGTCCTGAAGAGAGCTTTGAAATTCCTGAAGCCAGAACATCCAGTTCAACTAAAATTTACCTGGAGCAGCCAACACCTAGTCCTAAAGAAATCGGTAGCAGCACTGATTCCAGAGAAAGCTACAGGGAGAGCATGCTGAAGGTGGTCCCACTGAAGAGCAGCCTAACGCCGAGCTCTCAGGATGACAGCAGCAACCAGGAAGATGGCCAAGAGAGTTCCAAGTGGATGGACTCAGGATCCAGCTCAGAAGAAGAGTGCACTACTAGTTATTTAACATTATGCAATGAATATGGGCAAGAAAAGATTGATTCTGGCTCTCTAAATGAGGAACCAGTGGTTAAACTGGAGAGCGAAGGTCTAAATACCAAAGAGAGAAGTTGCTTACAGAAATGCAGTGTCGTTGGCAGTGATAGCTTCACCTCTCAGATTGCACCTCAGGAACGAAAGCTTTTCATTGACAACGCTGAGTCAGAAATAGCTAGCCCTACTAGGATATTGGACTCATTAACTAAATCAAAGAGCAGCCCCATGGAACTCTTCAGGATAGATAGCAAAGATAGCACTAGTGAGCTCCTCGGGCTTGATTTTGGAGAAAAATTATATAACCTGAAATCGGAGCCTTTGAAGCCATTGTTTTCTGTCCCAGATCATGACAGAAGCGTGGATGCCCTAGAGAGCAAAATGGATGTGAGAGCTCATGACACCGTAAGCAGGGGTTCAAATGACTCTGTGCCAGTTATCTCCTTTAAGGATGCTGCTTTTGATGATGTAAATAGCATTGATGAAGGAAGGCCTGATCTCCTAATAAACTTACCTGGTATGTCTGATGAAACAGAAGAGGCAGCAGTGTCAAGGCCAACAAAGTTTACAAAAACTGATAGGGATATGTTGGAAGTAAAGTTATTAGAAACACCTGATGTCTTACAATTAAATAATTCTGCAGAGCCATGCAAAACATTTGATCAAGAGCCAAATCATGTGGCACCAGAAGTGGGTGATCCTTCCCGCGAGGAAGCAAATGGACAAAGCGGTGTCACTCGGGGAGCTCTTGGGACCCTCTTTACATCTGACCAAGAGGTAGGTAGTTCAGAAGACGGGGCTCTGTTTCAAGGGCTTGGAGCCTGCTCCTTAAACGTGACAAGCAAAGAAGAAAGTTTGTTTATTTCCAACCCGCTCTCAGGTGCTCAAGATGTTAGCTTGGATGGAGACATGTTAAGAAATGAAGCAGTGTTGCTGTTTTCTGATCAAACTGAAGACTTTGGGAAGGAGGAAATAGATTCGGCTTTGTTACCAGCAGCTGAAAGTAAAGAGACAGCAGCGAAGAGGGAAGACAAAACAGCAGTGGCAGGGGAGAAGGAAATACATCAAATTTTTCAGAACCTCGACGAAAGATTAGCGATAACCTCCAGGTTTTATATCCCAGAGGACTGCATTCAAAGATGGGCAGCTGAAATGGTTGTAGCCCTTGATGCTTTACATAGAGAAGGAATTGTGTGCCGCGATTTGAACCCAAACAACATCTTATTGAATGATAGAGGTCAGGAACTTTTGCAAATGCATTTCTTTTTATTCGCTGTTGCTTCCAATTAACTGAGTAGGCGTTTTATCTTGTAATTAGTATCTTCATTTCCTGTCTAGAGCTTCATTATCAGTGCAGCAAATTCACCCCCAGTAATAGCTTCTAGTACTTAATGATGCCATTATTCTTAATGATACTGTTTTTAGCTACAAAAGGAGTAATTACAGTTCACTTCTGCAGAAAATGGAAGGGAAAAATGTTTTGATTTCTCCTGTCGTTTTGTTTTTAGGACACATTCAGCTAACGTATTTTAGCAGGTGGAGGGAGGTTGAAGATTCCTGTGACAACGATGCCATAGAGAGAATGTACTGTGCCCCAGGTTAGAGCAATCACCTACAATGTTTCACTTGGAAAGTAGATTAGCAGCTTTCATTTTCTCACGGAGCCTCTATAGCATAGAGCTCGAGATCATGCAGTATCTGAATTTTCTTTGCTTTTTCCTGAATGTCTTAAAAAGCTAGAGGGCTCATAACTGCTTTATTGTTGAACTGTGGTGGTGGTTGTTAGATTATTTCCATAAAGTGTAATTGTATTGAATGTCTTGTTTAAGCAAATTTAAGGAATGCTGTGTTTTCTTGCAGTTATTTGCTATATGTGAGTACATCTTGATAACTGAAAAGAGCAAATAAGGGAAAGGGCAGACTGAAAAGATGACACTAAGAGCCTTAAAAATACAAAAATTTATACGTGCAAAGAACATGGGGGAAAAAAACCATAGTGGTTTGAAAAATACAACCCTAATAGGCTCAGAGATGCCTCTGACATTTTTGATGAGCTACAGTGGGCTTTGAAATAGTTTAGAGAGCTCTTTTCTTAGAACTGCTTTCATCAGTCATGAGGGTGATAAAATCAATATCTCTTGGGTTTTTATAGCAAGGATGGCACTTGAAACCGAGCCCTCCCTCTTTCTCTTTTTCCCATTTATTTTCTGCTAATATAGTGGTCAAATTGTAGTGGCAGCCGAAAATCAGATGTTTTACTTATAACTTTGTATTTTTAAAAATTCATAGCTAGCTTAAAAAAACTACTTTTAGAGTTGAAATGACTACTGGGACGCTATTCAGATTTTCAGTTTCTCTTTTTTATTCTGAATTTGAAATGCCAACATACTCTTTCTGCTGAGCGCGTGGTCTGGCTAGGCATTGCAACTTGGCATGCAGGTAGTCCTCAAGCTCAGAGTCTGCAAATGTGCTCAGAAAAATTTAGAATAAGAGTTATCAGCAATGGAAGTTCTGAACTTAGTTTGGCATCAGGTGTTTATTCTGTGACTTAGTCTCGCAACTGAAATACAGTAAGGAACTGCTCTCTGTGAATAAAGGTGGTAGGATCTCAACAAAAATTTGAATGCTGGCCTCTTGAGATAAATAGTAAATAAAATCTTTTCTATCCAGGTGCAAGTCAAAAGGGCAGGTATTACAGAAAAGAATTCTTTTTACCTATCAAAGCAAACCCAACACCTTTGTTCTACCCTCACCCCACTTCAATTCAAGAACAAGAAAATTGGTGAATCCCAGCAATTCTTGTGGTTGTTAAAAAGAAACATGTCCTGGTTGCCAACTTGCACGACGTCCTGTTAGAAAGAGGCGTTTTCCTGCCTCCCTAACACAGCCTCGTACAAAGCTCTCCCTAGTTGAGTAGTAGCAAAGATGGAAGTGCCTTTTCCCTTTTCCCAACCTGTCATCATTAATGAGCTGTGAAAGTCAAATCTTAATTTTTCTGGTTTTTAATGAGGATCCAAAGAGAGTCTTTTTTTGCCCTCTAAGCCCCAACCAGCCAACTCCTGCAGTAATTAAGTGTTTAGGGAGCAGTTGAAATAATATTTAGAAGTCCCCAAATGCAAGAATAAAGTTTTCCGCACCATCGTTATTTCCACCTCGCAGCACAGGTGTGGTATCCATCCGGGCTTTTCTTGGTTAAGTTGCCCTCTCCTTTCCGCCCTCTCTGCCCTACCCCAAGCTGTAGTTTGCTTTGTGTGTCTCTAACTGGCGAGCTACAAGATGAAGATTTGCAAATGCAAATATTAGATATATGCAAGATGGCTGAATTGATACTCTGTGATTCTTACCTTTCATATTTCTAGATCTTAATGTTATGTCTGCAAAGCGTACTCTTACTTTAGTGTAGCTATTTCACGCTATTTTTTGCAGTACAAAATATATTTTGGAGCCAAGTGCCATTCTATTCTGAGAATTAATACCTGTACCTTCAAGAATGGTGTATAGCTGAGTCCAAAACAGCTTTCTCAGGGCTACTGCTGCTGGTAAATCTTGCTCTAGAACTTTTGATCAGTATTAAAAAAATAATCATGTTAGTGGGCTTTCTTTAGGCTCTGATGTTACAGGGGAAAAAAACCTCATTTGGATGATCATTTTTCATTTTAAGGAGTGTACCATGTCCCTGGAACCCATGTCTCCCCTTTATCATGATAGAATTGCTCCTCAAGCTGCTTCTTGGAATAAGGATTTTGAAATTATACTTGTGCTTCAGTTCAGTACACTAAGAGAAATTGGCAAGTTCGTTTTGTTTTTTTTTATTCTTTTTAAGTTGCTTTTTAAAGCTGATCATAAATGTTTCTCA